TCAGATGGGAGCCCAAACTTTGTTGGCATCCTGAAGGTAGAGATGATCCTGGCAGACTGCTGACTTCCTGGTCTTGCCCAGAGGCCCTTGCAGAGACAGAAAACACCTGGCTTAATCTTCCAGGCTGGGGCAGGATGGGCTAGCACTTCAGAATCTCGTCGATGAAGGTGGTGGCAGGACTTTACTTGTGAGTATAGTATAGCGGGATTGGCCTGGCAGTCAGTGATGAGAAATGGATGGTGGTACTTAAGGCAGTTCCCAGGACAACACTCTTGCAGTGCATGCTTTGCTTTTAGCTTACATTTGCCTTCAGTGACAGTGTGATTCCAAAAGGGCTCCAGCACAGGTACAAGAAAGTGAAGGAATTGAATAATAGCTCAAAAGAAGCAATAGATTATTTTCCTAGTGACTGCCCCCCTCCCCATCCCCGTCCTCTGTGTCAGCAATACAGCCACTTGACAGATGTTTAGTTCCAGCTGTGCACACGGCATGGACGGCAGTGGGAACATTGTGTTCCCCACCTGCTCATTGTGTTCAGATGGCTGAGGGTGTGTTTAAGGTCTCTCTGTGTGGGTGTGTAGCCTGATTGTGTGTGTACTAGTATGTGTCCAAACTACCGTTTGTGAGGGTTATATCACAGCCTAGGAGTCCAAGCTAATAAGGCACGTAGCTTTTTCTTAGTCAAGTCTTAAAACACACACACACACACACACACACACACACACACACACAAAATAAAAAGTAAGCTATTAATACCACCTCTCTCCAGTTCCTCACTCCCTTTAGATGAAGTCAGGTTGTATTTTGGTGTCGTTTTGCCTGACCCTTTAATTGCAGATGTAATAGTAGATTCCAGAAATTTATTGTGATATTTTTACTAAAAAAAAAAAACTTATTTAACCATATTGTTAACTTTCTTTTAATATATTTTTATTGATTTTAGAGAGAGAGAGGAAGGGAGAGGGATAGAGAGCTAGAAACATTGATCATCTGCCTCCTGCACGCCTCCTACTGGGGATCAAGCCCACAACCTGGGCATGTGTCCTGACCGGGAATTGATCCAGTGACCTCCTGGTTCATGGGTCAATGCTCAACCACTGAGCCACACGAACCAGGAGGAAATTTGATTTTTAATAAACCTGTTTTGGGTATGCTCTGGGAATACAAAGGTGGTCAGGATAGTCCTTTTCCCTCACTAGATTATCGTACAAATGAACAGATAAGCTAGTGCAATAAGGGTTCACCCAAGCTATGGAAGAAACATTTACAGGCACCCAGGAGAGGGAGTGGCTACTCCCACCGAGGGGAGGCTAGCAATCCTGGGGTTGCACAACCAGTTAGTGTAGTGCTTGCTGTCCAGCAGGTTGGCCGTTGGGAAGTGTTGTGTCTGATGCTTCCTCCAATGCAGCAGGATCATATGTGGAATGAAAGAATGCATTGTCCTAGACTGTGCTGCCCTAGGAGCCATGCATGGACGAGGAGCTCAGGGATGCAGGGAGGATTGGCCAGCTGGTCACTGCTCTCATTCCTGATGGACCTCTTGCAGGTCCCCCTGTCGTGTGGCAGAGGGAGTTAGAGATCTTTTTTGGCTTATAATCAGGAAACATGGGGTCAAGGTTTTACCCTGCTGCTGATTACTTGGGCAGGCTAAGCTAGTCTCTCAGGTCCTTGTTTTCCCCATCTGCAAAGGCAAGTAATAATAGCTACATATTAGGGTTGTTTGGGGAATAACATTAAATATCTGGTACATAAACTGCTCAGCATTGTGCCTGACAGGGGTCAGTGCTAATACATAGTATTTATTTTTATTAATGGGCCTCTATTTGTGTGCCCAGAGCTGACTCATCCTTAGGCCATCAAAGTCAACCTCCATATTTACAACAGCTCTTAACTGTTCTGCCCAGATCCCTGGATGGCTATGACACCCTCCTAGCTGACCCACCAAAGCACTGATTCTCAATCTGGGGCCCATTCTTCCTAGCTCAGGTTGGCTTGAGAAAAGTCCTCAGGTCATCTGAACCCCCTCCCTGGTCCCCACTGAGACTTTTTGCTTGGGGCAGTGAGTCTTAAGCAGGGTGTATGTTAGCTTAGCATCCTCCCCCGCCCCCCCCCCCCCCAGCTTTGCTAAAATACACAAACTGCATCCCACTATGACTCATCGGACTTGCATAATGGTGGAGCACTGGTAAGTGTGTGTTACCTTTCCAGGCAATGCTGATAAACAGGCCTGGTTAAGAAGTGCTATCTTTGTGGATGTCTCTCTGCTCAACGCTGTCTCAACAAGCTAGCATAGCACTGAAACTTCTAGCAAAAAGTAATGGTGGCCAGTAGCTTTTCAAAGCTCAGAGATACTGATCCTGGTGTCAAACCAAGGAGGCAGAGTCTTTGGAGAGGTAAACGTGTCAAGAGGAGGAACTCGGGGGTATAAAGGGACTCTGCATATAGCCCTGGACATGCTGTATACTGGGTGCTTAACAAGAGGCAGTGATGATTATCATTAATAGTTGTGTATTGGGCTAGCTCCTTGAAGGCCTATATCCATTTTAGGATAAAAGACTCCAAACCAGGAAATTAAGAAACCAATTGGCTGTTTGGGAAGCATTTAGAAAATGTGATGAGAGGTGTCATGCACAGGCTAGTAGCAGAGATTTCAAGGAAGAACAGCACTGTGGTCCCTGTTCCCATTTCCCCTTTTGCTTCTGAAATGAGAAAGGAAGGAGAGTGTGTTAGCAGCTGGTGCAGAGACGAGCAGTGAAAGCCTCTCAATACTCAGCCCTATGTTCTGGGAACGACATGGTGAACCCCAGACTGCCACGGGCTTTGAGTTTTGTCTCCGCATTCATTCTTGACGTTTGGGGCTCCTGGTTGCTGTGCTAAGATGAGTGTAAACACGTTTCCAACGGAGCCTCGTACAAAGTTTCTGCTCCTGCCAAGAGACTCAGAGCTGAGTTCTGAGTAAAAGATGGGAAATGATGGGCTCAACGGAAGGAGGAAATTCTGCCTTTTCAGCCTTGAGGTGATCCAGAAAAGGGGATGAGAGAGACTCCTCAGAATTAAGATAGGAAGGAGAGTCCCCCCCCAGCCCCCCAAGCAAAGACTGGGAGATAAAGGCACTGCAGTCAAATGAGATATCTGTGAAGTACTTTGAAAGTACTTTAGCTAGACTCTGTGACTCTTTACATGAGAGCAGCAGCATCAATAACTTTATCAGCAACTTGGGTTCAAGGTGATGCTCAAGGTCCTGAATTAGTCCCCCGCCACAACCCCCACCTGAGCCTGCATCCTGCTGTGCAGAGGTGATCTGTTCAATCCTTGGAACTTCCAGCTAAGGTGACTGCATAAGCTTTTGCTGTAAGAACTTTCCTTGAGGTCTAATCTCTCTTTTGCTGACAGTTCCTATCCTCTTGAGCCTTACTCCTCAACTGCCTACTGCTTATTGGAAAAGTGCAGATAGCCCAACACAGGCTGGTGCTCTAGAAACTGTTACAATTTATTGAAGGACATCAAGCATGCGGAGAAAAACAAGCCATTCGCCCCAACTCTATGCTATTCCTATCGCAGAGAACATGGAGTCTCTCTTCTCTTGGCCAGCACCCTCCCCTTACTAAAAGATGGGGTGTGTGCATTTGTAAACTGGGGGTGGGGTGAGAGGGGGGTGGAGTCTAGCTTTCCTGCCGCAACAAAGACAGGATGGTTCACAGCTGTCCAGAGCTGGGTATCCAGAGAGGCAGGGTCCAGGCCTGTTGGGCTATGCCAGTCCAGGGTGGGTGTCAGTCCTGGGCTCTGATGCAGGACGAGCCCTTCCTTTGTCTGACCTTAGCAGACAAATCCCTGCTCCCGCTGCGGGTAGACGCATAAAGTGTGTGCTTTAGAAAGATGTCTGCAACATGACGGTGCAATTTAAAATCTGGGTCCTACTTTCCTGAGCTTGGACTCAAACATGTCCTGAGATAGGAGAAGGCGCTTTAGGCAAAGGACTGCCGGGGCGGGAGAAGGCGCCTGGTGCTGGCGGGTAGCTTCCCAGCGGTGACCACAAGTGGCCAGCAGGTGTCAGTGCGCCCTCGCTCAGACGCGGCGCGGGCCTCCGCCTCCAGGACCCCTCCCCACCGCGGTCTTAGGGGGCGCGGTCCAGACCCGGAGTCGCTCGGGTCTCGCTGACAGCTCTGCTGCGGGGGCGACACGTGGTCACCCTTCCCAACTGCAGCTCTGAACTCTGCCTGGGGCTGCTCCCCCGGAGGCGCTCCCCATTCCGCCCCAGGGGGTCGATCCGCACCTGTGCCTTCCTTTCTCACCCGGACTCTACTCGCCACGGCCGCCGGTAGCACTTACGGTTGAGGGCAGCCGGGCCCAGGGCGGGACTGCTCCGGATGCAACCCGTACCGGTGGCCGCTTGTCCAGATTCGGGTCACGGGTCTCCAACCCCCTTCCTCCCAGGACGCAGCTCGATGGGGACACTCCCGGGTGCCCGCTGCTTTCTGCTGGGCTGGCCGTAGCCGCTCTGCCAATTCACAGCAGGGGCCGCTCCCCGCTCCCCGGGCACGCTCTTAACCCCCTGGCTCAGGGCACCCGCCTCTCCAAAGGGCAGGTCCCACTGCGGAGGCAGGGCTCCCCTGGGTCAGGCGCGGGGCACCGGCTCTGGACCCGCGGAGGGGAGGCGCAAGGGGCGGGGGGAGGGTCGGCTTCCCACGTGGGGGCTGACGCCGGCTGCTCGGCAACGCCGGCCTGATCCCGGGGCTATAAAACCAGTCCACCGCCAGCGCGGCGAGCAGCAGCAGCTCGGCTTCCGTGCAGACGCCCTGCAGCCGGCGCGCCGCTGCCCGCCACCCCAGCGCCTTCTCGCCCGGGCCCCCGCGCTCCCGCCTCAATCCACGCTGGCTCCGGACCGGCGGTCCGGACGAGCTCAGGGATCGAACGCGACAAGGGCGAGGCCCGAAAGACTCTCTGCCTAACCGCGGCTCCTGAAGGGTCCATTTCCCACCTGTCCGGGACCGCCCGAGCACGGGGGCACATTCATGCGGCCCCCACACCTCTCGCCCGCCGCCGCCGCCCCCGAGCTCCGCGCGCTGCGCCCCGGCCCCAGCAGGGCACGCAACTTTGGAAGTGGCGCGGCGCTCCGAGAGACGGCAGAGTCCGCGCCCGGGCCCCAGCCCTGGCCCCGCCGGCCCCGCCGCGTCTGGGGGAAGCAGGAGAGCCGGTGATCGCTTCGGGGATGTGAGGAGACAGACGGAGGACCCACAGCCCGCATCAGCACCCCTCGGCTGCCTCCCGGGGTGGGGGCGGGCCCCGCTCACGGTAAGACCTCTCGCTTTTGCTCAGGCTCAAGAGTCAAGCTATAGATATATACATGTATTTTAAATTTCCTGTTCTCTCTCCAAGTTACCAGGCCAGCGGTGATTTTTGTTCTCTCTCCGCGAAGAATAAATCTCTTTCCCCATCGGCTCGACCTACTCTCTCCCGCCGCCTAGAAATAAAAGTTGGCTGCTTGTAGGAGCTGGGAGCCAGCAGGCGCCCACCCCGGGCGCCCGAAGCACGGACAGGGGCGCCGTTCGCTGGAGCAGGGCCCAATGGGCTGCTAGCGGCTCCCCAGCTCCAGCTGGACGTCCCCGCGGTCCCCACCCCATGTGAGGCGCCGCGGGGCGAGCGGGCCGCGGGAGGAAGAGGAGGACCCACGGGCTCCGAGCCGGAAGGCTGCTGGCACCAGGCCCAGGCGAGCGGGCACCCGCGTTCATGTTCCGCCAGGAGCAGCCGCTGGCCGAGGGCAGCTTCGGGCCCATGGGCTCCCTGCAGCCGGACGCCGGCAATGCGAGCTGGAACGGGACCGAGGCGCCGGGGGGCGGCGCCTGGGCCGTCCCCTACTCTTTGCAGGTGACGTTGACGCTCGTGTGCCTGGCCGGGCTGCTCATGCTGCTCACCGTGTTCGGCAACGTGCTGGTCATCATCGCCGTGTTCACCAGCCGCGCGCTCAAGGCGCCCCAGAACCTCTTCCTGGTGTCGCTGGCCTCGGCCGACATCCTGGTGGCCACGCTCGTCATCCCTTTCTCGCTGGCCAACGAGGTCATGGGCTACTGGTACTTCGGCAAGGTGTGGTGCGAGATCTACCTGGCGCTCGACGTGCTCTTCTGCACCTCGTCCATCGTGCACCTGTGCGCCATCAGCCTGGACCGCTACTGGTCCATCACGCAGGCCATCGAGTACAACCTGAAGCGCACGCCGCGCCGCATCAAGGCCATCATCGTCACCGTGTGGGTCATCTCGGCCGTCATCTCCTTCCCGCCGCTCATCTCCATCGAGAAGAAGGGCGGCGGCGGCCAGCAGCAGGACGAGCCGCGCTGCGAGATCAACGACCAGAAGTGGTACGTCATCGCGTCGTGCATCGGCTCCTTCTTCGCGCCCTGCCTCATCATGATCCTGGTCTACGTGCGCATCTACCAGATCGCCAAGCGCCGCACCCGCGTGCCGCCCAGACGCCGGGGCTCGGACCACGCGCCGCCGGGGGGCGCGTAGCGCAGGCCCAACGGCCTGGGCCCCGAGCGCGGCCTGGGCCCCGGGGGCGCCGAGGGCGAGCCGCTGCCCGTTCAGCTCAACGAGTCCACCGGGGGGCTCGCACCGGCCGGTCACGCGAGAAAACGACTTGTTGGACTGAAGGTGAGGTCGCCGTCGAATCGCCGGGGTCGTGTGTGACAGGGTCGCAGCCGTGCTGAATGTCGGCTGCTACGCCTACGGCCATACCCGTGATCAATCTGTACTACCCCGATGGGCAGCTAGCTCGCGCGTAGGGCTGGAAAGCAGAGCTAAGGCCTTGAGAAAGCGCA